CCATTGAAATTAAATAACTACAGTTAGTGCAGTAAAGTGTAGTCAAAGGACTGTTTGCTGTGGCAGTGTTAAGGTGCTGGCTTTATAAAAAGTGCAAAGACATATTTAAGAACAATTGAAAAGTTCTAAAACGCCGATAACGTCACAGGTCACACCATTATGACATTGTCATCACGTGACTCCAGGGCTGCGTGGAACAGCAGATCATTCTAATTTAAAACTTTAAACATAAACATAACCTGTTGTTGCAGCAGCAGCACTCAAATAAGGGTTGATACCACTGATCATTATATATAGATCAGTGGTTGATACACAGCATTTATTTTCCAGTTTTATAGTCTTTCTATTTATTTTTATGTATGGGCTGGGAAAACAATAATGTTCTGTCTGATTGCATTAAAGGTGCAATGTGTAATATTTACATCGATCTATTGACAGAAATGCAATATAATATACATAACTATGTTTTTTAAGACCTTACTTAATGAACCGTTATGTTTTTATAACCTTAGATTGAGCAATTTATATCTACATACACCGCGGGTCCCCTTACATGGAAGTCGCCACCATGTTTCTACAGTAGCCCTAAACGGACAAACTGCTCTACACAGCGCGTTTCGTCACTTTGTTGTTCTTGCGAATAAAACACTGACACAATGATGAACAAGTACATTAATATTCGCAATAACATCGATTTATTAAATAATTAAGTAAATATAATTCCTTAATTTACCTTTGTAAAGAAATCTCATTGCTCTCTGCTGTCTTTACCGACATCTTCTCACCGCTAGATGCCGCTACAATTTACACACTGCACCTTTAAGTCAATAATTTGTTCGTTTACAATTGCAGTAACCGCCTGTTTTTTTTAAAGCGTAATGCAATATAATATACATAACTATGTTTTTTAAGACCTTACTTAATGAACCGTTATGTTTTTATAACCTTAGATTGAGCAATTTATATCTACATACACCGCGGGTCCCCTTACATGGAAGTCGCCACCATGTTTCTACAGTAGCCCTAAACGGACAAACTGCTCTACACAGCACGTTTCGTCACTTTGTTGTTCTTGCGAATAAAACACTGACACAATGATGAACAAGTACATTAATATTCGCAATAGCATCGATTTATTAAATAATTAAGTAAATATAATTCCTTAATTTACCTTTGTAAAGAAATCTCATTGCTCTCTGCTGTCTTTACCGACATCTTCTCACCGCTAGATGCCGCTACAATTTACACACTGCACCTTTAAGTCAATAATTTGTTCGTTTACAATTGCAGTAACCGCCTGTTTTTTTTAAAGCGTCGCGAAAGTAAGTCGACGCTTTATTAATCAACGTTGTTTTCTATTCTAGATGAGTAATTTGCAGCAAACAGAACCTGTCCATAATAAATGCTACAGAAAAAAAAAATAATAATAAATGCTACAGATTAAATTGATCGCTGATCTTTGTGGAGTGACTTAATGGTTAAAAATAATCTAACACACAATATAAAGAATTAATTAATAATGATAAAAATAAAAAATAAACACCAAGAAAGTTAAACGTTTCTTGACCGTTCTGGCCAGATCCTGACCCCGTTTATCAGAACTAGTTGTGTGATAATAAGTCGTTGTTTTCAGTGTAAATATATTCCTGCAGGAGGCAGTGCTGCACAGTGTTTCCACAACCTGGGAATGAACAAAACCCGATAATAACTATTACTTCACTGTTTGCTTGTAAGCATAAACTTATATGAAAATTAGCCAAGGTGAAAATTTCACCCTAGTCTCTCATTTCTCCCTTTTCACTTTTCCTATGGAAAAGAAAAAACACAGGCAAACGCTACGAAGGAGTTGCTCTTCTAAAAGTAACGACAGAAAAGCTGCATGTCCGGTGTTGTCAATAGTGTGGATATTACAGCAAACAGTTTGCTTCGTACATTCAGTTTAACAGCATTCAATTCAAACAGTTTGCTTCGTACATTCAGTTTAACAGCATTCAATTCAAGAGGCTAAACTTTATCATTCAAGTGAACTGTGCATGTACATTTTACGTTGTTCTTCTTGCTCCATCAATGCAACACATGGTCATCCTTTAATGAGCCAGGTTTAACGTACTTAACTTCTTAGGAAAAAAAAATACTATGGAAGTCAATGGGAACCACCAACTGTTTGATTACCAGCAATCTTCAAAATATCTTCTTTTGTGTTCAACATAAGAAAGCAACTCATACAAGTTTGGAACGACATGAGGGTGAGTAAATGATGACAGAATTTTCATTTTTGGGTGAACTATCCCTTTAACGGGACATTCCTGGTTGGTTAAAGAAATAAATAAATCAAACTCACAAGACACCGATGGACAACAGTCGCTGTATATGAATAGATTGTAACTGTTTGATCTAATTTAATTCTAGTGACAATTCAGTAGTCACTGGATAATGGTAGGGACACGTCCATAGTGTCTTAGAACTTGGGACAGGTGTGGTGACAGTAACATCTGTATGAACTTGCAGAAGATCTGCACATCATCTCAATTAACGCTTACTGTCCACTAGTTACTGCCACATATCGTTTTTTTTACATTCACTTTTATCAAAGGTGTTGCATCAGATTTGTTTTTTTTCAAAATTCTTCATAAAATGAATGACATCAGCATGTTCTGTTTCATTACAATGGAACTTAATAGGGCCAAAAATATCCAGTTACAGTATAGCCACAATATGTAAACTATACGTGATAACATGTTTTTAGTGTGGGGGAAAAAACACTGCAATTTTGTTGCCATGACAAACCCTAAAGAGACTGTAAGATTTGGTTTAAATCATTGTACAGCTCAAACGCACAAGTAATTGTATAAAAGCTTCATACTATTGCTTTTCAAATGCTCTTTCAAAAGTACTTCATTGTAAACTCCAAGAATGAGCATAGATTATGTTTATGGTAATTAACATTGTGCCACAAATGCTGTTGATCGAGCTTGTATTGAACCCTTAATATTCCTTTAAGCAAACATCTGTTATTTAAATTATTACATGAAACTATAGATAATACAATTCAAATGGAATTTATTTTAATTGATTTTCAATTTTGAAAAAAAAAAAAACAGCAACAACAAAAACTGTTTTTACACATATTAAAAAAGTAATATCACACACAATAAAGTCAAACCATTTGATTGTGAATGTTCAAAGGCAATGAAATATATATTATATATTTACAAAAATATACATTTCCCCCACCCATTTATTAAATTATGCCCGGAAACAATATTCTTCTTGTTTTCAACTATATGGTTTGACACTTTGGGAGAAGCATTAGTGTTTCTATGTTCACATAAAGGCTTTATCCCACAGTTGCATTATGATGCAATAACAAGTGCTGTTGTTTTATAGTCATTCCTCAGGCTGCATGCCCATCTGTTTCAGCATCTTCTGCTCCCTCCGGTTTCTCATGCGCTCCTTGAAATCCTCCAGTTCTTGCCTCTGTTTCAGAATGAGAAACTCCACATGAAAAACAGAACGTCATTGCATCTCACTTGTATAATCTATACATATTTTAAAGTAAATGTTCAGCATTCCTGTGGGATGTTGCTGCTGAATAGTAAAATATCTACCTAAAGATCTGTTTAACCTAACCTAACCACTGCAACCACCCAAGTAAAAGCAGTTTGATTACAAGAGTGCATCAAATTAAAGAGAAAATGCTTACATGCATTTTCTCATCAGGTGGGAAGATCTCCCTCTGAAAAATGTAATAATATAATCTGATCATATAACAGCAAGTGCGTATATAGAATTGCTAAATATAAAACACTACAATATTAAAATGGACTTCTCAGTGCAATTATGAACCTTTCGCTTCACGATGTATTCCTCAAAATACTCCGCTTGGTTTGATATCCAAAACATCGCCACTGGAAACGACAGATACACCATCATCCGTTTAAAATGATAAACATTACAAATCTGTTGATATTCACATTTGATCGGTTATTCACATAACTTACGTGCAGTGGTGAGCAAAGCACTGAGTTTAGTGTTTAGCAAAGCGGGACGTTTACAGCTTCTGTGAGTCTTTTTAAACCCCATCCCCCCCCCTCCGAGAAAACGAAAAACGAAGTTGTTCGGTGTATAATTAAGAAGTCAAGCTAAAACTAGATTTAAACCTGAATATTGTAAATGGGTAAAATATAAAATGTTTACTTTCCTTTTTTTGTCTCTTAAACACAAGCTCTCGCCCCTAAACCCCCAATTTTCCCCTCCCTGTCCAACCGTGCCCCTCCCTCGCCCTCCCAGAACATAATATATGCCAACTAGAATCGCAATACAATACAGGCACTGGAGAAAACACTATAAGAGAAAACTCAGAGGACCTGCCAAGGTCTCGAACTGTGCCCCCCGCCCCCCTTGCTGAATCAAATAACAGAATTAGAACACATCCACTATAATCGAACAAGAACAATGATAAATCAGAACGGTTTGATTTTTTTTGTAGCTTTTTTTCCTTTCAAAATTTTTGTAATTATATCTAGCACAGCATATGGAGTTCTCTCTGTGCAGGTGTAATAAAATGATCTGTGAAAAGAAAAGAGGATTCATGCAGAAACCAGCTGAGAGCTCCGTCGCGTTGGCCTGGTGTTCGCATGACGCTCTCAAACGCGTGTACCAGTTGCACAGAGTTGCGTGTTCTTCTTCTATATGTATAATACACTTAAAATAGTTATCATATTCTTTAAATTATATTCAAACTAAAGGATACTCAGAAACCGCCCTTACAGGTCAACGCTCCGGCCCGTGGTGAGATTCCTCACCGGGTTTACATGAAAACGATGAGCAATGAAAGTATATCTCCATGATTCTGTCCTCAATTAACACTTGTCAGAATAATGCATATATTAGGGTTTATTTTCTACAAGGCTACCTAAATTTTTAATGACGAGTGGGGAGAACAAGAAAATATATTTATATATTTAGAAAGACATGTTAAGAGTGAAGCATTTCGGGTCTCAGCTATCAGCATAAAAGGATATGGGTGTTTGGCATAGACATCAGAGGGTAAGGTGTTGGTAAGAGAGTTAAAAATATCTAAAAAAAAAAAAAAAAAAATCAGATTTTTACTTAAATGTTGTTCTTTTGAACTTTCTATTAAAGAAATCTGCATCAGTTCCACAAAAATAAACTGATGTGAATATTTGAAATGTTTCTTGAGTAGCAAATCAACGTATTAGAATGATTTCTGAAGGATCATGTGGCACTAAAGAATGGAGTAATTCAGCTTTGCATCACAGGAATAAATTACATTTGAAATGTATTAAAATAAAAAAAGTTGAAATTGTAATAATATTTAATAATATTACTGTTTTTGAGCAAATAAATGCAGCCTTGGTGGGCATAAGAGACCTTCAAAAAAAAAAAACTGTACTAACCCAAAACTTTTGACAGCTAATGTGTCATAAGTGAGGTGACTGCAGCTGTAACTCACCGCCTCTCTCCTCCTCCTCTCCTGTTCCCGGCGTCGTGCAAGCTCCCTCTGCTGGTCAAGTGCACTCTGGGAAGCGGCGGGGGACTGGGGTGGGCCTTGGGAAGGCTGTGGGGCCGAGGGCGGTTGGGCCGGGTTCTGGGCTTGCAGCTGATTTTGGTGCTGCTGCTGTGGCGGCTGGACCTGCTGTTGCTCCGGCCGCCTGCGGGGCTCCTCCTGAGGCCTTCGAGGCGTCTCAATGGAGTCCTCCTCATCTCGTCCCCTTCAGACAGAAAGAAAATGTCTTGAAACTGCTAAACAGTCCTTTCATTAAAAAGAGTTTCTGAACGGCTCTCTTACCGAAGTTTCTCTTGTTCTCTGCGCAGACGGTCTTTCTCAGCTTGCTCGGCCTGGGCCTTCAGGGCTTTCTCTCGCTCTTCCTTCTCTCTGGCCGCACGTCGAAACTGTTCGAAGCTGTCGCTGGAGGACTTCAGACCAGACAAGGGAGTAGAGGTGGATTTCTGCGCCAGGCTTGCCCAGGAACCCATGTTCTTCAGTTTCACATCCTGGGGACCAAACGAAGGACACGTTATGAGGCATAGTAACGTAGCATAACCATTCCAGAACTGCTGTATTCATTGAAATTACAATGAATTAAGTCGTCCCTTCCACCCACCTGTACCTTTTTCGGCGCCACAGGAGTCTTGTGCTCCTGTTTGAATTTCTCTTTGTCCTGCATGGAAGGTGGTGGACCGCTCTGCTCAGAGGAGTGGATGACAGGACGGGAACTTTCAAGTGGTTTCATATCTGCTTCTAAAACAAGATGATAAACAGTTAGTTCTGGTCCTCTAATTTGACTGGCAGAGCAGAACAGAGATAGTCAATATTTAATATAACTGCATTTAGACGTTTCACTTTTTGTTTGTCTGTAGCATTCTGCCAGAGTATGCGAGAATTGTTTAGTGGAAAGAAAGTTCTGTGATTTTGCATAGGGTGCAGAACTTTTTTTTTTTTATAGCACAACTTCAGTCACATCTGTTTGTGCAATGCTTGTAAACAAAAACTGTAAAAACTACTCGACAGTTGATATTACTTGACATTAAACTTATTGTTTATTGTATAAAAGCAACTTGAGGAAGACTTGTGTAATTTTGAATGTCAGCTTATCAGCACAGTGTGCTTAGTGTGAACATGCATACTTTGAAATGGGAGTTTCACTCACTCGGTTGGCTGTGGCCTGGCATTGTGGGTTTACTCTCAGGGTGTTTGTGAGGGTCTTGTCTCATGGCTGGACTGAAGGGCTCACCACGCATCACAGGTGAATGAAGCAGCTTCTCTTCTTTAATGCCACCCAAAGCTGAAGGACCTTGCTGTGGTTCCTGAAGCAAACAAAGCAACAAACACACATTTATAAAACCAAAAGCTATTCATCACATCATAGACATCCATGTGGACACTGGAAACAACGTCAACAGTGTCAAAGCAAAAGAAATGGAAATGGTACTGACCTTTTTGGCCTGAGGAGGGGACTGGTGGACTAAAGCATACTGAGAGATTTGAGGGGAATGCATCATGAGCGGGGAGGGGTTATCTCGCATGTGTGCTGTCAAAATAAAGACACCATTAAAATACAAATATTTACAGTGCCGTCTGATACATTTGACTGCAGCTACAAGGTACTCAATGTAAAGTAGTTGAGCTACAGACAAGTTCCACTACAAGTTACTGACAAAAAATGGCTAACTACTTTTAACTATTGATAATGGCGGGATATACAGGAAGAGCATTTTTCTGGCACAAAATAATGACAAGCATCTAAATCAATGTTTCAAAATGAAATAATTTTTAATCAGCAAAAAATTACAAAAATAAATATGACTATATATATATATATATATATATATATATAACCATTTATTTAGTAAATTAGGCATTTTTATGGCAAATACAAAAAAACAAAACAAAATAAGCATCAAATATTGTGATAAATATTTAGCAGTTTAAGCATCCACTTCACTACCAAAAAAAGTATACAACAATGAAAAGCTATGGTTTAAAAGACCGTTGTGTTACCTGAGTTATAGGAGTCAGACTTGTGTTGACGTGGAGAGTGATACTGCTGTTGTTGCTGGATAATCTGCTGTGCTTTTGTGGAGGGCATGGACACTTTGTGTTGACTAGGCTGCGTTTGCGTGGTCTGCACATGGCCTTGAGAGAAGCTCAGCTGCTGCGAGTGCTGCATGTGTCTGGCCTGATGCTGCGAGAGCTGCGGGGAGGGCTGGTGTGCCGCTGCCGGCTGGGCTTGAGTCTGAACAGGAATCTGCGGTGGGGGCAGGGAGCTCTGCTGGCTCATCTGAGACTGAACCTGCACTGACTGCAGCAGAGACTGCTGGCCCGGCTGCTGCGGCCTGCTCTGCAAAGACTGCATTAGTGATGTCGCCGGCTGCTGCTGCAGGCGGTTCGGCTGCAGGTGCTGCAGGTACATGGGCAGGGGCATGGAGGGAACGGGCTCCTCGTCATCCTCTAGCAGCATCTGTGGGGGCTGGGAGGACAGCAGGCCCTGGGGAGTGAGCGTGGGTGGGGAGAGGGGCCGCTGGCGGATTTGCTGGGGAGGATGCAGGAGGTGAGGAGGGAGGTGGTGCTGGGGCTGAGGGGGTTGCTGGGACTGGAGCTGCTGCGGCAGGGTCTGCTGGGGTTGCTGCTGCTGCTGGGGCGTGCTTTGCTGCGGAGGTTTAAGAGGTAGCGGGGCTGCCCTATTACTGGGCCTTGAAGGCTGCTGGGGCATTGCGTTGTGCAGGGCTAGAGACCAACAACACAAAGAGAGTGGAAGACCACAAAAGCATGATTAAGTAAAGGGTCAATATAGAACACCTGCAATTTTTAAATAATTTTTGTAAACAAAAGTGCAAGATAAAGTGAAGAATAGAGCCAATCAGAGCATATCTACACCAGTTTGGACCAATGAGAGGTGGGCAGTGTGAAAATCGGCATGGTAGTCCAGCAATAGTCTAACCAATAGTAAAACTGATAAATCCTATAGCCATGGAAGAAATGTACTTTTGTCTTTTTAATGTATTTTCTGGAATATATGTCACATTATTTGAAACATCCTGCAACGTATATTCAAAAGCAACTAACATAATGCAACTGACATCAAGCACACAAAACATGCATAAACAGCACACAACATCTGGATTTGTGCCGAACGTGAGGTATGTGAGCCCAAGTTTATATGTACAGCATGTTTCCCACATGCCGGTAGTTTGTTTCACTTTAAAGAAATTCATTTAGGCTTGGCATTTATTATAAATGCTGTTTAACATGAATCCCACTATCATTTGTTTTTTAATGTTCTGTATTTGGAAGCATTACAAGTATGTGCAAAGCATTTGCTGTGAAGTGAGGGGAATGAAAATATTAATAGTGTTTTTGAATGTTTATAAATGTTTCATTTATCAGTATTTTACGGTGTTCCTGAATGTAATAATACAATTTTTATTTTTGCAAATTTGACCCAGTACATCCAGAAAGTACTCTACATCTAACCTAGTTAGGACATAGTATTAAGGTATTTTTGACTTAATAAACAGGAATTTTCCACTTACCTGGGGATGGGAGGATGGGGTGCTGGTTCAGGAATGGGTGGGTCTCAGGAGACGCTGGGCCTCCTGGAGGGTGAGCGTTGAGGTGAGGCGGCGCAGGGGAGGGCGAGTCATTGGCATGGTGGGGAAGGTGCATGAGGGGCTGGACGAAGTGGGCCAGAGGGTCAAACGGGTTTTCCAGGAGCCGCGAGGGCTCCAGAGCTGTGACGGGAGGAGGCATGTAAGCGGCGGGAGAAGGATGCTGCTGCTGCAGCTTCAGCTGAACACTGGGCTGCAGTGCAGGGGTCTCGGGTTGATGGGGAACTTGCGGCTGAGGCACGCCTGGAGCCACCACCTGGTGATGAGCCTTCTTTCCTTCACCTCTCCCTCTCTTCTTCAGCTTAGAAGCCATCCCTGGGTTCACGAAGGAAGATTCTTCATGAAATGCAGCTTCTTGAATCATTTAACATTTCCAAAACTTTAGAAATGCAGCTGTTCACGTTATGGAGTTACAGGGCTCACCTGTCTCCGAGTCTTCACTTTCTGAGGAGCTGGACTCACTGCTGCTGCCCATCTCGGATGATGAGCCTTTTGTCTTTGCAGCGCTCATTGCCTCCATGGTCTTCTCTGGAACTGAAGGACAAGAAACAATGAACAATGATCAATAAGAATATGTATGCACTTGGTATTTATGTTGATTTTGGGTGATGCAACGTAACAGACAGCATTAAATAGAAGTGTAAAAAGGGATCCAATGTGTTTTAGAGACACTCTAGTTATGTTTACATGCACTGAATTGCCAATCAGAATGAACCCAGTTCTATTTAAGATCGTGAAATTTCTGTTTATATAAACCATAAACTTTACAATCAGATTCATGTATTCATCTACATGTGATGTCATGCATTCTGAACAAAACTTCAGTGCAGTCTCTTCCACTGACCAGTTTTTTTTTTTTTAAATAAACATTTGTAAGATGTAAAACGAATGTAAATATACACATCATGACACCGCATGTGCACAAGGTGTTTTTGAATCTGACTGAGAAGATAGTTGGATTCAAGCATTTACATGCTTAATTTTTTCCTGTTGATTGGATTATTTCAGGTCTTCACCACCCCTTCCAATTTGACCAAAATTTAATTTGGGTAGAGCTCATTCGGATCAACTGTGGTGTTTACATGAAGGCTACCCAATCTAATGGAGCAATGAATCGAAGTATTAGGTTGCATGTTAATGTAGCTAGTAAGGATGTGAACGATTAATCGATGATCGATTAACTGTCGATAAGAGATGCAATCGATTAAAGCTATCGATGGTCGATTAAGCCGTTTAATTTTGGGCTGCGTGCGGCTCATGCGCAAAACACGTGTGAGCGGCTGTGAGTGACGGTGACGGTATATAAATGCATCATCATTCATTCATAATGTACAAATTAAGCTTTTAATGTGATTTAAACTTTAAAAGTACATTAAAATAGAAACAACACAAAGTTCTTCAACATGGAAAGCAATAGAAATGTAGTAACTAAGTCATTTCTCCAGATAATTCTTTCATATCGGGCTCTGCGCTTTGCAGGGCTGTAGGACACAGGACAGATAGGCTATTCATTCCTACAACTTGTTAATTTGTTCCTACGACTTATTAATTGTGGCGCGGCGCTCCATAAACAAGTTTTTTGTGTTTCAGCTGTTCGATCGCACCGGCACCTCGCGCGTACTCACCCCACATATTCTAGCAATTCAAACTTACATCGCAGTCTGTTCATTGTCAAAATAAAATACAGTCAACCAAACATATAAAAGGTTACATTGGTCAGTTTAAATAGACCGTAGTATACCGGTCCACTCTGCTGTTATGCCAAGGACTTTTTTGCTCATGATGGAAACATTTGGATTTGTGCCGAATGAGACGCAAGGAATAAGCTCCAAATACTAGCCAAACCCGCGCTCGCTCCGTCTCGTATGCACGCACACATGCACTGTCACGATCTAATGCACTGTAAATGCTGGATTTTTAAAAACAAATAGGCCTACCGGAACACAAAAATGTAAAATCGGACATTTTCCTGAACAGGATCCAGCAGGATCAAATTAAGTACTGGTCATAATACTCGCATGATAATGTTTGATGGTTAACGATTAATCGATTAATTGATCGTTAATTTAAACGAGGATCGATCATGGAAATGATTGAAAATTCACATCCCTAGTAGCTAGTGTGTTGCAATTACTCAAAACTACCTTCTGCGGTGGTCAAGTCAGCACTTTATATGCACTTATCAAATTTGGAAAGTCAATGCAAATGCATCCCAGACAACATTCTGGGACAGATGTGTCCAATCTTACTCCTGGAGGGCCACCTTCCAGCAGAGTTCAGCTCCATTCCCAATTAAACACACCTAAACCAGCTAATCAAGGTTTTCAGGATCACTAGAAACTTCCAGGCAGGTGTTTTGGAGCTAAACTCTGCAAGAATATGGCCTTACAGCAGCATGATTGGACACCCCTTTTCTAGGATTACCTACAAGATAGTGTCAAAACAAGTGTATGTACAGCCAATCCTCTGATATGGCTGAGCACTTTTGGTAGGACCACCAGAGACAGAAGTGTAAACAGGGCCTTAGCATTAAAGAGGTTTGTAAAATAATTTACCGGCGGGCTTCTTATTCTTGCGAAGGCAGGACGACACATATCTCTCCAGTTCCCTCAGCGTAGAAGGCTTCAACGTCTCAAAGTCGATCTCAATCTCGTCCGGGTTGGAGTTCTTAAGCGAGGGTTCGCGGGACTGGATGATGTGGACCACACGGCCCAGCTTGTCTCCAGGCAGCTTGTTAATGTCCAGACTCAGCTGTCTCTTTTCTTCATAGGACATAGGCTTACACTTCTCTCCAGCAGGCATGCCTGCCATTGTGGCTCCTCCACTCAGACCCAGATCCTCCTCAGGATCCAGGCTCACCACAGGTAGCAGTGTTGGTGGAGCAGCACCTGGGGGAGCCATGGAGCGACTGCCCTTACCTCCCTCCTTCTTGCTATAGGGCATAAGACAACAAGAAATTCTAATTTTTAATGACACTATACAATTATTGGGTAAACAGCAAAATTCTCAGACTCTCCACATTGATAAAAGTGATTAAACCATGTAATTTTGGATACTTTCTTGCCTGAAATGTGTTTGTATTTCCAAATATAGCTCACCTCAGCTTCTTGGGCTTCTTAGGCAGAGGATCCTTGTTCTTAGGCTTTCCTTGAGCCTTGAGGGTAGGAGGCGGCTCCAGGATCTCTTCCAGTGCAGGCATGACTCCCGCTTTCTTTTTGTGCTTGTCTTTCTTCTTCTCCTTCTTTTCCTTCTCTTTTTTCTTTGGTTTGCTGACCTGAGGCTGGGACAAGGCAGCCAGCTGCTCATGAACTGCTTTCAGCTGAGCAACAAAAGAGAAGAAACAAAACAGGGAGATTAAAGTCTTCTCAGGGGACAGTATCGCATCTTTGTAAAGTGTAAACTTTTTTACACTTCTAGTATCTATGGTGAGATCTTTCGGCCAGCTTGTCCTTGAAAAGACTTCTTCCTTGGGTACGTGCTGGCAAAAACTAAGCATAGATCTGCTCACCTGCTCCTGAAGCTCTGCTAGCCTCTGGGCTCTCTCCTCTTCAGAGTCATCCGTGGAGGAGTCCGATTCAGATGAGGAATCACTGGAACTGTCAGAGGACGAGGCTGTGCCCATGGGTGGCTGTGTCTTGACAGGAACCTGGTGGAGCACTGGCGCAGGAGCGGGTCCCAGCATTTCCTCTGGCTCATCGGGCATTTTAGCAAAACGCATCTCAAACACATCCTACAAAAAGAGAAAACCTTTTGATGATCTAGTATAAGATGCTTCTCATCTTCATTTAAGAATTCAGCAATGTGCACTTTGATACATTCTGACAACATTATAGAAACTATAAGAGTGGAACATTACCGTTAATTTTTTTTGCTGCATTCACAGATTTAATTTCTCAAGCACTTTCACACTTCTCTGTCAATTAGGGTCAGAAATTAACAGGGGCTTGGGGCCAAAAAACCCACCCAAAATCAAGTTAAGGGGCCAAAAAAAACGGCTCTTCACAATTAAACTAAATCTATTACGACTGTGGAGATTAAAGTTAAGTGTGAAAGTGAATGAAAAGTGTAGATTGCAGCATTACATTTAGATCTGCTCATGTTACATTCGATTTCTTTTTACATGTTTTTTTGCAGCATTCAGCATTACTTACACTAGACTGAAGTCATGGACCACTTTAGTGATAGGAAACGTTTTCTTTGCTTGCTTTCTGTATATAGTTTATTCCCAGTTTGAATAACTTTTTTCAATCTACTAAAATAACCATTAAATCATCTTGATTTTATAATGTGTAAAAAGCAATAAAGTAATTCATAAACTGTTTTTAGGTTTTGTTTACATAGCCAGAATGACAAGTCTTCTCCCAAAACACAAAAACATTATTTTATGCAGTCTACTGATCAACACTAATAATTATTACATATCATGAGCAAAGATCAACAATTACTGTGCCATAATATTGCCCTGTAGTAAGTTGCTGTTCTTTATTTGTACAATTTATATACTTTATGCATGCTGTTTACTTGAAAATAAAAATAAGGGTCAAATATTGCCCCTTAAAGGGTTAGTTCACCCAAAAATGAAAATTAGCCCATAAATTACTCACCCTCAAGTCATCCTAGGTGTATATGACTTTCTTCTTTCAGACGAATCCAGTCGGAGTTATATTAAAAATTGTCTTTGATCTTTCAAGCTGTTTAAAGGGGTCATATGATGCGATTTCAATTTTTCCTTTCTCTTTGGAGTGTTACAAGCTCTTGGTGCATAAAGAAGATCTGTAAAGTTGCAAAGACTAAAGTTTCAAATCCAAAGAGATATTCTTTATAAAAGTTAAGAGTCAACCACGCCTACCTAAAACGGCTCGTTCTAACACGCTCCCACATGTCTACGTCACAATGTGGGAAGATTTGCATAACGTCGCCCAAATGTTCAGGCAAAGAAAGGAGTAACTTTTATTCTCGCTGTAGTATTGTTGTTGCAGCCGCTGCCATGTCGTGAAGGCGCTGTGCTTCATTGTGAAAGCGAAACTACTTTGTTTGGCCTTCCAAAAGAGGACAATATCCGC